AGTGAGGCTGTCTGTATGTCGCCACCTTTTTTCTTTAAAATCCCAAACATTGAAGCCAGATCACACGGTGTGAGTGCGATATTTCTGTCAATCTGGGACAGTGTGTATCTGTAGGTGTTAATCTGTTAACAGGGGGGGAATAATTTTGTTCTTGCAGTCTTACGGACCGTCCACACAGCAGCGTTAAAAAATCTTGAAACGCTTCTGCCCATTCACTTTGAATGGGGTGACGTCACTTTCCCTCACTTTTCGCCGAACTGCATTGTGGGCAGGCGAGCGGAGATTTTCACGATTTTCAGGATTTACGGACCGTCCACACAGCAGCGTTAAAAAATCTTGAAACGCTTCTGCCCATTCACTTTGAATGGGGTGACGTCACTTTCCCTCACTTTTCGCCGAACTGCATTGTGGGCAGGCGAGCGGAGATTTTCAGGATTTTCAGGATTCAAAGTTGAACAATGTTCAACTTTTGAGGCTGAGGTGGAAGCGTCAGCCAATCAAATCCCGTGTACGCAAATCTGACAGTTCAAGCTCTAGCCAATCAAACGGCGTGTATGCTGGGAGAGACATACCGCAGGTCATTTCCTCATATTCCAAAAAATGGAGGAGAAATTAGCGTTAGCGAATCAATCACCCGGTGCTTTATGACCAGTCCCTATTTACCTACCGGGATATAAACCGGAGGAGCCAGGCATGGAGGGAGGTGGCAGAGACAGTGGTATGTTTTCGCCTGTTTGGGGAGTTTATATCCAGTTTACTTCAAACTTTTTTGCTTCGTATGTCGGGGGCGGGAGATTCATGTGATTGGTTGTTGGTGCCTTGCTCGCAAAAAATCCCCAAGCTTCAGATACGCCCATCTCCAAGATTTTTTTAACGCTGCTGTGTGGACGGTCCGTTACTCATTTATTTTCTCTTGCTTATTTTCTCACAAGTGTCAAGATGTTACTGTAATGATACAGAGCTGACACGCTTCTTGTCTTTACACTCTCACCCAGCCCAGAATTACCCAGGGTGTCGAGAGTTATTTCAATATTTTAGATTCATTTTCCTCGCTCCATCTATTTAGTTGCTGGTGGTACGATTATGTCAGAGTTGAGGAGATCAACTGTCTGTAAGTCAGTATTTTTCAGCAAAAACATATAAACCACTTGCTAATATTTAAATGAAATAGAAAATCTTTAGGTTTTTAATGTTGGTCGGACAAAACAATAATTTTACCTTATCACATGTGAGTCAGGAAGTTGTTTAAGGCATTTCAAAAATAAATAAATTATGTTTTCAGACCAAATTATGAACTAATTGAGAAAACAATGGGCAGAATTACCTCTAATAAAAATATGATTAATCATAGCAAAAAAGCTTTGACACCTAAACAATATTATTTTTTATATAAAAAAGAGCTAAAGAAAACTGCTATCCTTCTCAATTTCCACCCTTCAATTATTCAATGTCAAACTATTACTGCCATAGTCCTTGTGTCCATCTTTGTGTGAATGTTGCTATAAAACATATATAGTATACAACAGTATACAAAAACCTTTGCATAGGGAAAGAAAAAAATACTCACAAGAGCTTGTTGAAGTAGATCTTTTGCTACCTTGAGAGTATTTGTAGTTAAATGAAAGAGTTTCAAACATCTGCAAAACACATTTAGCATGTGTATGTGGATTATATAATGTATACAGCATCAGGCAGGCATATCAAACCACTGGCATATTTGTTTAACAAATGACACAAATAAGCAAAAACTGTTAAAAAGCACTTTCATATACTTCAGTTTTGTATTATTAAGGCAATAAAAGTTAGATGCTGACCCCCTAGCCGTGCTGAATACTAAGAGGCAAGAATGTAATTAAATGGCAAAGATTATGCCATTCATCAAGAAGCACAAATATTGAAATGAAAGGCTCTTCCTATATTTTATGCCTCACGATACAAATTGTGTATTGTTGCGAGATGGATCGTCTTACCCTGCTCTCCCAACTTACTTATCTCAAGAGAATTCAATTAAAATCCACTGTTTTTAATTTACAGCTGCTACTTCATTTGCAACCTACTGAACGAGCATCTCTGTGACCAGCAGTGTTTGTACTGAGCAGTCATGAATAACACTTATCTAAGTCACTTTGGGAGTAAAGCAGTAAAGCAGTGTGGAAATGGCATCTATGTTCGACAAAAAAACTAAGATACTTAGATACAGTTAGGACTGTCACGACTGAGCAATTTATTTTGTTGATACCGGCCCTTAATGAGTTTTCTCTTAGTTCAAGGGTGCACAAAACTATCATGATATTTAATTAACTAGCACTTAAGCATTCAGTTGTTCAGTGATTTGTTTTGTTAATTAAAGTGTTTAAAGTGTATTTTCTCCTAGAATTTCAGCTACAATTGAGTCAACACAGTTACTCTAAAGAACAAATGAACGATTATGGATTTGAGTGCTCGTTCATTAGTTTACAAAGACTGATTTAGTGCGTTCTCTTTCACACATTTACATTACAACACATCTAATAACATAGCTCAAAATATAAGAAAAATATATATAAAATATAATTGTAAAGGAATTTATGGTATGTTAGCATTGGTCTATGTTGTTCCTTTTTTCAGGTAAGTTTATTACCAATAGTCCAAATCAAAAAATGCATTACCAAAGGATGCATAGAAAATACTTGTTAGCAGGATTCACTTATTAGTTGTCTGTCATTAAAAAAGAAAAAATCCAATAAAGATAAATATAGTATATCACTGCACTTAATTTGTTTTGAATAAAGCTTTTTTCTTCCAGGAAACCCGAGTCAAACCCTATACTGCATACACGCCATGACAGACACACACATTTGTGTTTGTGACAAACACACACATTGTCCAGAGTCAGACCAGCAGTGAATGTGGATAAGAAGCGTTATCCTCTAACAACACCTTCATCTGAGACGCAGAGGGAAGATAATTGAATTGGAGCAAGATCTATAAGACAATATAGTTTGAGTTTCCTCAGAGGTTTTCTCCAAGAGATTGTTATGAGGTTTGGAGGTTTATGAGTCCTATGATTGAATGTGAGCGGCTGGTTGTCATGAAGCTACCAACCTTTCTCTTCAAGTGAGTCCTTTTATATCAGCAGCTCAATGATAAGCAGTGGTAGTCAATGTGTAATTGTCAACACAATTTCAAGTAATTGCTGGACAGTCATACAGTAGATGATATTTCTGGACCCTGTTCGTTTAGTTCCACCTCCTGCCTCCCGTTTTATTGCCTGAACCGAACTGCTGCTGCATGGTTTTAAATATATTGGCTTTATCTTTCTGGCAGTTGTTCGTATTGCTTTAGCGATAACAAAGAACCTCCTGTTCTCGCACTTACAACTTCAAACATACAGTATGGAAAGAAAGAGCAGAGTATTGGTGTGGTGTTGTTGCTAAGGCTCAGCAAGGATGTTTGCCTCTTGTGAGACCATGTTTGTAATATTGGAAAACCCATTTCATCTCAAGGAAAACTGAATTATAGATCAGGCCGGTCGATATATGGAAAACAAACAGAACTGCCATGACTAAGAAAGAAAAAAAAAAGTTAATGGGCCATTTCAAATATGAATAAACCACGAACCATAAATCAGCTGCTATGTGATCTCTCTACTTTGTTTGTGAGCCTGGATAAGTTAATGTTTCTGCTGTATTAGCACTTCATCAGTACCATGTCCTTCAAGAGTAATTGTTGTTTGGAGGAATATTTAACTACACCCTATATTTATATGGATTTGCGGTGAGTGCAGTCTGTCAGTCAGTGTTGATCCAACAGCGGGTTTAATCAACATTTTGCCAGTGAAACAATAAGGCAAACATTTCTACGAGTGCACAATGAAGCAAAAGACATAATGTGTTTGGTTTTACATAGAAATTAAGACTTGATTCTATTCAAAAGCTTTTCATTAGCACAGACGAGAATAGAAGCTTTATAAATCTTTAACATGACGATTTACTAGGCTCCAGGAAATTCAAAAATACTAGTTCATAGTTTGTTTTATCTTCTTCTCTTGATTTGCAAGAGAAGTGTATTGATGGGACTATTAAAGAAGTAATGTAGTTGTCTCGCAAAGTCAGAAGAAGTGGACGCTTTTCAAGACAGGTCATCTTTTAAAGGTGCCAAGAATTTATTTAGAGTATATGCCTTGGAAGATGATCGTTCAAGTGAAAATGAAATTATGCACATAATGAAGATATGAGTTTAACTACTCTGTCTGTATTTTCTTTTCTACCCATCAAACCAATAGGCTGCTACAGTTTACCACAAGCCACACATCATCCGTTTACAAATTACATCTGAATCTATATCAAATAAACTGCCTTCCAATGTATTTCATAAGGCAGTATTTTTAACCAATTTTACAACACAAGTTGAGAGAAAAACTAGACTAGCAAAATTCTCACAAGAAGCCACTATAGGCTTTAAAAAAAACAAGTGACCTGACAAATAATTATGTTAAATTGGGGGATTTCAGATGTTTCCAAAGCCCTGGCAGGCCCTGTCTGGTCTGTGTGGTGCTGAGTGTGTGAGTGGACAGTGTGTGTGTGTGTGTGTGTGTGTGTGTGTGTGTGTGTGTGTGTGTGTGTGTGTGTGTGTGTGTGTGTGTGTGTGTGTGTGTGTGTGTGTGTGTGTGTGTGTGTGTGTGTGTGTGTGTGTGTGTGTGTGTGTGTGTGTGTGTGTGTGTGTGTGTGTGTGTGTGTGCCTCTTGCCAGCGATTCTCTCTGTCCAATCAGCAGTTGAGAGTGTTTACGTCACTAGTTTAGCATATTCAGCCCGGTTGTTGGCCCGGTAAGAACCTCGATTTTGGAGGGCCAGAAGAAAGGAGAAAAAGTAGCCCTGAGCCGGAACTACCCCTAGTGGAAAAGCAAAAAAAAGAACCCGGCCCGCTTAAACCATGCTACGTGCTGCAGTGGAAAAGCGCCATTAGTCACCAGGAAAGCCAGAGAGAGCAAAGATAGAGGAGGAGGTTGTGATAGACTCACCTAACATCTTTGATATCATCTGTCATGGAGGCCACGTTTTCAATTATCATGTCAGCTCTCCACATCAAAAGTCACTGATATTTTAAGTGTCCAACTCTCTCTTTGTCTTGGTCTCTTGAGGTCCACTTCAAACATTTTGTAGATTTAATTCCAAATAGTCCTGGAATATCGTAGCTCAATCGCTGCTAGCTAGCTTACTAGTTAACAACAGCTAACTTGCTTACAAATTAACAACTCGCTAATTAGGGCTGTGCGATTATGGCAAAAATCATAATCACGATTATTTTGGTCAATAATTGATATCACGATTATTAAATACGATTATTCATTGACTTTGAAAACATCCATTTATTGAACTTTAAAACAAATACAAATAATAATTTGAACAGTATCTTTTTAACTGTTGATTACCCTGAACGTATAATTCAACTTAAAAACCAATACAAAAAATAAATTAAATGATACATTTATATTTACATTTAAATAAATAATATCAAAATAATAAATACCAATAAACAAGATCAACAAATATTTTGGAGCGCACTTCAACAAGCTACTAAACATATGTAAATATGATAAATACAAATAAATTAGACTAAAATAAATTAGATCCAATATGTTGCAGTGCACGGTCACAACCAAGCAAAGCAAAATAATCGTTTTTTACGATTATGTTGTTTTCGTAATTGTGGCAGGCCAAAATCGTAATTGCGATTAAAATACGATTAATTGCACAGCCCTATCGCTAATGTTAACGAGCAAGCACGGATCCCGATTATATTGACAACAATGGAAAACGTAATAACTCTCCGGTTAGTTTCTTTGAATAACGTTGTTGCTAACCTTTCATGGTTTGATATGCGTGAAACTACAGTTCTATTTTATTGCTATTTAACTATATTTTATTACGGTGTAAAAGATTTTTGTTTTATATTAGATTTCTTGTTTTTTATATTTTATGTATGCACCATGACATCAAGTCAAATTCCTAGTATGTGCGAACCTGCCTGGCAATAAACCTGTTTCTGATTCTGATTCTGATCTTGAGTTCTTCCGTTAACAACTTTACGTTAAGTACTATCAACTCCACCTGGCTTCCACCTCACTGACTAACTGACATGTATAAGTCAAATGTCGAAGGGTCGCTGTTTCGCTGCATTTAAAAACGAATTTAGTGCATACTAACCTAAGCAGGCTACAGGTGTAAGAAGTACTTTTACTTAAGTAACAGTAGCAATACTACAGTGTAAGCATAGTATTACAAGTAAAAGTCCTGAATCAAAACATACTTCTAGTAGCTACAAATAAAAAAATAAAAAAATAAAATCTCTGTATTATAAATCCTTACCTGCAAAGTTACTAGTAACTCAATTAGAAAAAGAAAATGTAGTGGATAAAAAGTAAATAATTGCCTAAAATGTAGTACAGTAAAAGTATAAAGTAGCATAACATGAATATACTCAAGTGAAGTACAAGTACCTCAACATTTTACAGTACTTGAGAAAAGGTACTTAGTTACATACCAACACTGGTAGGCTAGTTAACTATATTATTAAGTAAGTAATTAAAAGTAGTCCTTAAAAGTAGCTTATGCTACAGAATTATCATCAGCAAAATGTAGCCTTGATAATAATACTCATTATGAAGAATGACTCCTAATATAGAAGAGACTGAGTATGCTACTTCTTCTAACACATCATTAACTGACAGCTGTTGTTATAAGCTACTTTTTCAGACTAATATTTAACATTTTGACAATTTTAAGTCTTTTAAAAGTATGTGCTTTTTTTTATAAATGTTTACATGGACTGGCCCCCCCTCCCTTAGGGGAATTCATCCACAAAAAACACACTGGACGCTGCACTAGGTCAGAAACCGGAGACTGAAGTCCACCATAGACGGACCATTTTTGGACAAAATGTCCTCTCCATTAAAGGCAGCTCATTGTGGAATAGCCTCCCAGCTGAGATACGGGATTGTCCCACTCTCAATAGTTTTAAAGGCCAACTCAAAGAATGGTTGAGAAGCAAACAGACGTGCAATCACCGCTAAATGCACTTTAACACAGGGGTATCTCCTCTTGCACTTTATGTATCTCTTGTATCTTCTCTTGCACTTTATATGTCGTAGCTGCTACATTGTACTGCCATGTAGTAAATACTTGTGTATGCTGCTCATGCTCTTTTTGCATATCATGTATTTATTTTTGCTATGTTTATAAATGTCATGTTCTTAAATGTTTTATGTGAGGGACTGCGGATGGAAATTAGCTCAAAGCTAAAATCCGTAATATTTACACTTGACGTATTATTTGTTTTAAGTGTTCATTAATGTGCATTGTCCCTGTTCAAATAAACGATTAAATGAAATGAAATGAAAATAATATATAGCTTAATTTATAAAATATGATACTACTTTAACTCTAGTGCTCTAAACTATTTAACTGTGTTTGTTACTTCAGTAAAAGGTGTGAATACTTCTCAAACCACTGCTGTCAGCACAGAGATGGGACACTGTGTTTACTTCATTTCACCATGATTTGCCGTTCATCCAAATGGGCGTGAACAGAGAACAAATTATGAAATCCAATGTGTCAGAAACCTGTTTAAAAAGAAAAGAACCAATACATTATTGATTTTGAATAATTTCCTTTTTTGTTTCTGTTCTGTGGTGAGCACAACCGTTAACTGAACCTCTAATATGTGCAGTATGGGAGCGGAGTAGCAGACTAGGTGGAAGCAGGGCAGAGTGCTATTATAAAGATGGATTTGGCTGGATTCGACCCGATAGTGCTCAGGCACTGCCATGCAGAGTAAAGGATGCAAAGCATATCGTTTCACTGCAGCCAGTCACATGGAAAACCCACAAATATTCTGCCTTTTGAGTACCCAATATCAACATCTAGCAGATTAAAATAAGAGGAAATGTTAGTGTTTTTCGTTTGCTGGAGCAGAGCTGGCGGGCCCAAGAGAGCAAAAATAATCTCACCCTGTTGGAGTTGCAATTTAGCACTGAATCGTATTTATTTTACAATTGTATTACTGTCTTTAATCTAGTGGTGCCCTGGAGAATATAGTAGTATTACAATTCAGTCATGATTAGTCTATTATGTTGCTTTATTTGACTGCATTTGTATATAATGGTCAACAGGGAGCTAGTATCACAATGTGTAATGAGGTTTCCATGTGTTTTATTACTGAATTGAAAAAAGATTTCCCCCAGGTAAACATACAGCAGCAGTGTGTTCACTGGGCTTACAACAGCTTTTACAGGTAGCATTCTTGAACACATTTGTTTTGTAATTCAGTTACAAATTGCTTCATCATGAACATGCAAATGTAGTTCAGGAGGGCTATTGACCACAAACAATGTTAAGTCCATGCATCAATCAAGGGAGGTGAAAGAATATTGAATGCTTATTCATTAATATACAGTATGTTGTCGGCCACAGAAGATGGTGCATCACAGTTATGTACAGTTCTTATGTACAGCTCTCATGTATATACATTTTTCTTTTCCACTTATGATATATGTCATCTTCTACCAGAGAGATTGACGCAAATGTATGACTCTCAGAGGAAGAGTATGAATATTTGTATTGATCCATAAGGTGACCACCACAATGTATATTTTTTTGTGAACCTTACTCAACCAACAATTGTATGGTTTGCCATAAGATGTTTTATAACCCCCTTTAGATGGAAGTATAGGTATTTTGGTGATCCCTTTTCATAATACCCTCATTACGTCCAAATTTGTGTTTGTCTAATACTCAATATTCCTATTTTCTTTTCAATATTTGTATTAATTGTTTTTTTTATCTTCCCCACCTTTGTTTGATTAAAAGAGATTCAAGGTTCACGATTCAAAGGCTTTATTGTCAAATGCACAGTAGCTACAGTGTAGAAATAGCAATGAAAATATTAAGTCCCAAGCTCCTCCAACATTGCAACAAAGTTTTTATAGAGGTTAAATGTATTTTTTTTAAACTCCTCTTTCTAATCTGCCGAATCTCATACTGCTTAATTATACTGTCGCTCAGTTGTCTGCAGCAAAGCCTGTTTGCAGAAGACTAATTAAAATATAACACAAGTTTAGAAAACCTAGTTTAAAACATATTGCAGCCATCCTGAAGGCTTCCAGATCAAATTACATAGTTCAAAATCTCATATTAGTTGAGAGATTTTTGTTTGTTTATTAGATTGGCCACAGAAATGTCAGATTGTATTTAATCATTGACAATTTGATTTCACCAGGAGCAGTTACCCACATCATCAAACAACAATGTTACCATAGCAACAAATCCGCGCTGTGGATTTGATGCTGTCTTTTTGCTGAGCGCTGCAGAGCGAGGATGTTTACTCTCTACTAATTCTATCAGTTACCACGCTGACAAATAACGTTGAGATAGTGAACTAAATTCCCTTTGTGTCGTGTCTTCATTCCAGGTTTGCTTGGTGTCGCTGTTATTATGATGTTAAATGACACAAGGTCATAAAAAGCTTTATAGACATGTTAATAAAAAAAGACAAACAGGGCCTTTTATGCATAACCTTGCAGGGTGCACTCTTATGAACACACACACACAAACACACACACACACACACACCCTGATTCAGTCCACAGAGGAAGTGTATCCCTGGTTACATCACATGTTACTTGTTAGACGCTTTTATCCAAAGCGACTTACATACTCAATACTGAGGGCAATCCCCACAGGAGCAATTTGGGGTGAAGTGTCTTGCCCAGGGACACAACGACATGCTGACTGCAGTGGGGTTTGAACCTGTGACCCCCTGGTCCCAACACCAAGGCTCTTTCCACTGTGCCACACGCCTCCCCCAGGTTACCAATTATTGTTGTCCTAAACACTGATCCCTTTATTTATCCTTCAGATCAAAACATCTTATTTTAATTTGAGTGTTCTTCCATTCAAAATAACCTCCCCTAACAACAACACATTTTCCTTTACATTATAAATATACTCAGATTACATTTTGTGTTGTCTATATTCAGAAGACTGGGTTTTATTTCATCCATGTAAACACAT